CAAGTCAGCAAAAAACATGAATTTAATATTTAAAATTAAAGAGAAAATAAATTAATCAAACGCTTAATTAATGGAAGCCTCAACTATCTTTTTGCTTTAAAAAAAATATTGGCTTATTTTAAGCAAAATCTGTTTTTAAATATATTTTGTTTAAATTTTATGCATAATCAATTAATTATGTATAAAAAGGTGAAAAAATCAATTAATTTTTCTCTTGTTACGTTGGCTTTTTTTCAAATCCAGAAAAATAGACTTTTTTTTTAAGTCAGAGCCTTTCCAAAACAAATAAAAGTCATAATCCACTTCTACAATTCATGTTATAGTAACAGTTTACACAGTTAAAGTCTAAACCAATTATCCTCTAATGGATTCCGGTTAACTACCTCTTTTTCTAGAGGTATAAAACACTAATTTCTCGCCAGTTGCTCTTTTCTCAGCTCTAAAACAATCTCATTTTCTTTAGTTTTTACTTTTATTTTAAGTCGCAAAAACTTTTATCGAAGGTGAATCACTCATCTTAGTTATATTTTTGACAAATCTGCATCATATTTCATATAGTTTGGAATCGGGAGAAACTATCCATCTTCAACCATTTCTTACAACCAAAAGGTTAGTTAAGTTCTTATTAATATTCCTTAATCACCGTTTTAATCTGTTATGATTCTTACAATTATAGAATATCATGTTTTGGTTTAGTTGTGATTACTGAGATCATGGATTATAGTTACAACCTTTATATTGTTATTTATTTATTTTCCATTGTTTTAATCAACACTTTGACCATTTATAATTTATCCTATAGAGCGTTTTGGAATTTTTGTTCGTTTTTTTCTATGTGTATAGTTAAAGGCCATGTCTTGGATCAGCTCTTACAAACAAGATATCAAACATGGGGAGGAGGACCAAGTTAAAATTAGCAAAGGAAGTAAAGTGTATGACTTTCCTAACATTTATACGCAAATTATACTAAAAAAAAACTGTTTTATACGCAAATTATATATGTGAAATTTT